CAGGGTGTTGATAAGACCAATGTGAGCTCGAAACTGCAGTCCACCTTGGATGAGAACAACTATTGGGAAAGCAAGGCTATGTCAGCTCAACTCATATGATTGTGGGACAATTCTACTACCAGTGCTTCATCACCTTACACGAAATAGGGTGAATACATCTCTTTACAAATATTGTTGTTTAAGATCTGGTAATAGGCTCGAAACCTTATCTATTATTCCATCAAGCTTCCCATGATCATCTTTTCCTTCGTTCTCTATCTCTCTCTCTCTTTCTCTCTAGCTCTCTTTGTGACTGAATATGGATTCTTGTCCTGATGATGGCTATCACAGTACAGACGAAAAGTTCGTATGATACAGTCCAACCGCCTTCATACCAACTTTACCTTCTAAATGAAAGTCATGTCACCACATATAATTAAAGAATTATTTGAAACCCAGTTTTCTTCAATAATACTAAAATTGTTTATTCTGGAAGTGTTTCGTTATGACAGGAGTATATCTATGGGTGTGTGTGTATGTGTGCATGTGTGTGTGTGTGTTTGTGTGTTTGTGGGTTGACCCAACCCGGCAGCATTCATCTCCGGAGATGAAGGCCCTTATGTCTCCGGCCTCGTGTGCAGGCAATCAGACTTCGGGTTGGGCGGCAACACGGAATTTGCGCCTCCTGCCCAGGTAGGGGTTGGGAGGAGGCAGCCGTCGGTACAGCCTCTGGCCAAGTGTAGCACAAGTCCAGGGCCTCTAAGGGGCAGCCGACAGCGGTATCAAACGCGTGCGACCAAAACGCTTTCTCGGAATTAGCATATTTTAGATGAGTTAAAAGTAACCGCGGACATTTGCATGACTTTTGACTTGTGAAATGGGAAAGATGGATTGTCTGTGGAGATTGAACAAGCCAACACGAGCCAGCAGCTTTAGGCATCTCTCTCTCTCTTTCTCTACTCTCTCTCTCTCTTGCGACAGAATGAGAAGTTGAATCGAGCCGAAACACGTCAACTCTCCAATCTGCCTGGCGAGACGTTTGGATCAGATAACTTCGCCGTGTGCCAGTCGAGTTGTGCAAAGACGGTGGGGAGGGTGTGGAGGGTGTGGAGTATGAGTAGTATCTCGAGAAGACGTGAAAGTATGCTTCTGCAATGAGAGGGAGGGTAGGGGGAGAGGAGTCCGGTGGAAGATGGCTCTCGATGTGCAGCCAGACCTGGGGGCACGAGGGGATGCAGGCTCGGTTTGAGGCCCGCGGACAAGTCGACGGTGCCGACGACCCCCGGTCGACTTGGGGTCCGAGTCTGTTCAGGCTTGTCAGTGCGTCTTCCTCGGTTGCGTCACCGGCCTGAGCCTTTCTGTAGGCCAAGCCAGCCTCTCAGATCGCCAGCTTGCGATATTTCCGTCTGCAGACGTCATCTCGTCTCTCGTCATTTGAGCCCACCCCTCGAGGGCTTGCCGGCGGGACGACGAGGCGAGTGGGCTCGGGCCTCGGGCCTCGGCCCCTCCGCCTGACATGCAAGCCTTCAAGATCGAGCTGAGGCGGCATGCAGAACCATTCACGAGCGCACTATTTTGCCTCACTTTCACGCTACTTCCATGCCCGACACGTTGACGAGCCCGAGTCCCGCCTGAGTCGCCGAGGCGACTACACTGGCTCCACGGTATCCGAGCCTGGGAGACCGGGTGACAACGGTTGCATTCACGTCGTGCGAGCAATCGTCGTCTTTCTTTCAACTTCGTGACTTCATTTAGCATCAAAATGTGTATGTTTTTGTGTGTGCTTGTGGGGTGGATAGTATGGAGCGA